GCAGGAGTTACAGTAGTTAAGCAATTTTCAGGCTTCAATCTTGAAATATCTTATGGCTGTGGTTAAGTTCACACATATGTTCAACCCTACCAGCTTCAATGGGCCTCTTGTGATGCATAAAGCTAAACATGCAAGTAATGGAAAGTGTCCAGAAAGGCTAATAACAAACTGTGCTTCATGTACAGGTTTTTCTTGCACGTCTTTCTACTAAGAACATCTGTGAGTTGTAGAAACTGGCAAACAATTTATCTCATTATCAGACATTCCACAAAATATTTATTCCCTAAACTTATCAAAATAATCTGTGTTTACAAAAGGTTATATGCTGGGAAATAGCTCTCTGGAATTCAGGGATAAATTGTTGTTCTTGATTCATACAGAGAAGATGCTACACATTCCTGAGTTTATAAGCACTAATGTTAAACAGTCCATTTTAAAGCTGGCTATATAGAGACAGACAGAAAGATTGGCATGTGCTTTACAACTTTAAAGTAAAATAACAAAAAATATGTTTAGGTGTACTAAAAGAAAAAAAAAACAGGATTTTTTTTTTAAAAATATGTCTAGCTCTGTGCGACATCAGGAAACACTGCCATCAAGTGGCCATGTAAAGGGTATGTCTGCCTGCAGGTCTGCAAACTGCCGATGACGTACTGAAATGATGGCTGTAACATCCATAGTAGGACAGCATTGCCTTTGTATCGCCAGGACAAAAAACTATCAGATTACAGTTGCACTCCTCAAAAAGTCTTGTGGACATTTTAATCAGATCTTCAAAGTACTCTGGTGCCTAGAAGCTCCTGTAGAGACCTTGTGAGCTATTCAGAGGGTGCTGAACCATCTAACCCATATTAGGTGTGTATCAAAAACTCTCCTCTGTCCTTACCGGCATGCCAGGCAGTCCTTTGTCTCCAGGCAATCCTTGAGGGCCTGGCTCACCCTGACAAGGGGAAGAGGTAAACACAGTAAATCACTGTGCCCATGAGAGCAAGACTTTCCCCAATCCACCCATCATGCTCCCGACTCCTAAAGTAAGGCCATGTAACTTGTTTGTCAGCAAGTACACTTGATTTGTGTCATCATGTGCCAGATACAGGGTCTCTCAGCACAGTGCCGGCACACACAACATCGTCTGCGACCACCCCCCATGGCTTCAAAGACCACTACTTGTGAACTGTTCTCCTACTGTCCTCCACTGCTAGGAGTTAAACTTGAAGCATTTCACATCACCATCTAGGGAACTGGAATACGCAGAGTACTTCACAGAAAGCAGCAAAATAACACAATGAGGTAGCATAATGTCTTCACAAGCCTGCTTACAAATTCAAGAATGAGCCAAAAGGAACTGTGTTTGTTTGACTCTCACCTCACGCTAATGTAACTTTACCAAGTAAGGCGGTATCTCTCATGAGTCATGCAGGGGCTTAGGCAAGCTCAGACTGGGCTCCCAAACCAGCCCTGTATATGCCCCAGCTTAATTCAGTATGCCTAAATTTCATGTGTGTAGAGAATCTTTAACTCAAAATCCATACAGCTTTTATAAAAACACTGATGAGCTAAATATGCATCTCAGTAAATGCCAGTATAACAAAGTAAAAGAGAGAAATCTGATTATTTCAGAGTAGTGTGCATCACAGCCAAAGCAAAAGAGCTGAGGGGTTTTATTTATTTTTCTAAATGGATTTAGGATTTTTGCTTCAGTTGATACAATTTCACAGGTCCAACAGAAACAAACAACAGTTCATTTAATTTTCGGTTTAATGATGAAAACCTTTAAATCGCTTTCAGATTTCTCCTTCTGAGAGCTATGCATTCTCCAGTGGTTCACAATGCCCTGAGCCAAGATTGTTTTTATTCAATAGCTATCTGGCAGATTAAAAAAGTACAGAAAATTATTTTTATCTGGAAATATAACAGCCTTCACTGTCCAGTAATTCCATTCAGCCTTGAATGAAGGAGCAGGGGGAGGGGGAGGGTTTGTAAACTGAATTCACAGACCTTTTCTCCTTGCTTCCCTTTTGGAAATCCCATGAATTCCAGTATTCCAGTGGACGGTGGGGGACCTGGAGGGCCGGGCAGCCCTACATCGCCCTGTTGGCAAGAGAGGAAGGTATTAACACAGGCGAAACAGGTTTGATTTCCTATGAAAGTGGCTTCGGAATCAGAAAAAAGTCACTCTAATTGTATCCATGTACATCACACCTGTGTGCCTGAATGCTGGCACAGGAGTTTGGTCATGGAAGTCAAAAGATCAGACTGAAAATTAAGATGAACAAAATGCATTAAATCTGTTTCAGACGAGTTGTGGATATAAAACGTGGCAAGAAAAAAAAAAAAAAAAAAAAAAAGGCTCAGCTTTTAAATCAACAGGAAAACATTCCAGAAAAATTTTGAGGAGAAGTATGAAAGAAGACAAGAAACAATTAGAAATGTAGAGTGCTGACAACTGATTGTAACAGCAGCAGAATCAAGGCCCAAATAGAGAACTTTGAGAAGTCTAATTATGCCAGTGTAAATTCTCACACAGACTGCAGGACACCTATTTAGGATAGTGAGACTATAAATTACACATTGGTTGACCCAAAGAATATTATGAAAGCCAAAAAGAACGAAGTCAGTAGAATAACTCAATACAAGAGGTGTGGGTTCAAAGAAACTAAAAGACGGAGATTCAAAAGATGTCTAAGGGCCTCATGTCTCAATAACCATGAAAATACGGCACCGACTGAGATTTTCCTCTTCCCTCTCTTCATCCAGAAAAAGCTCCCACCGTTTTTATGTGTACCAACAGATAAGGAACCAGCACAACTCTTTAGTATTTGGACTGTCAATCAGTCCAAGAGACGAAAAAAAGGAAAAGAAGAAAATGATAGAACCTAGCCACTTTCTAGAGGATCAAGGTATGATGGAACACTAGACTATTATTTCATGCTCTTTCCATAACAGAACAAGTTTCACCTACCTTTTCTCCTTTCTCTCCTTGAAAGCCTAATCCCATGTTACCCTAGGAGAGAAGAAACCAATGATGCACGAATAATGAAACAACAACAGCATCACTATCACCTAGGCCCACAGCACTGTTAAAAAAGCCAACAATCAGGTGTAGAAAGAAGACAGGAAAGGTAGGTACTTACTTTTGGACCTGGCGGCCCGGGGGGACCCATTGGACCCTAAATATGAACAAGATCAAAATTTTATTTCTTTTGACTTAATTAGGATGCACACAATTGGAGCATTGCTGGGATCTGCAGTGGTACCCGAGCTTTCATTTCTTGACCCCAAAGCAAAAGTAACTGATACACATGACCTCCAAGTCTTCACATCTGTAACAGACAGCATAGCCCTTTGGTACTGTGGTTAATTAAGAGCAAACTTACAATTTAAAAGCAACAAACACGTAGTTTGTTTTAACCTCTGACAATGGAAACTCTCTTGTAGTACCTTGAAAAAGCAACTCTCTAGCATATTTCATGATGACAAAGGCTCCAAACACGCAGAGGTCAGCATAACCCCTCTAGTCCCGAGACGAGGAAGTGCTCAGAACAGTATAATGTAGTGTTTGTAGACAGCACTCTAGAGCTTTGCTGCAGCCCTCATTCATGACTCCTGCTCTGAGCACCACTCCAGAGAGGAGCCTTCCCTCTTGTGATTAAACTATCTAAGTTCAAGTATTCTGTGCTTGAAGTCAGCTGTGCTCAGTCCTTTTAGATGCACACACACTTTTGCGCCTTGTCATGACACAAACACAGACAAGGAGGGAAAACTGGTAAGATTTTGAACTGTTCTATCAACAAGTGTAACAGCTAAGGTCTCTCACCTGCAAACCTGGTAATCCTATAGGGCCAGCAGAACCTAGTGGACCTGGAAAACCTTTCGGGCCCTGTAAGAAGAACATAGGACGAATATAGAAGTTGTAGCACTTAGCCCATCAAACCCAAACCAAAGACAGAGCGAGTCTCAGGAAACATTAAGTCATAGCCCCTAACTAAGTATGCCAATTTAAATACTATAACAATCCATTTCATATCATTAGATGTACCTTGAAAATCAAAGTTACAGAGTTCAATGGTAGAAGGGAGTTTGATTTGAAAAAGGAAAAACACAGTAGATAATAGCAAAAATTTGACTTCCTTCACCATAACATGGATCCACTCATACCATCACAAAGCTGGCCCTGCTCATGCTACTGGTATCACATATATAATTTGAAAAGTGTCCTTGAGAACCAATACAAGAAAAATTACCTACTTAATATTCTTTAAAATCATTATTCCGCAAACTAAATAACTTACAGAAATTCCATCCAATCCAGGAAGACCATTTTCTCCCTAAAAATTGTAAATGCATGAGTAAAAATTACACATTGTTACACAGTAACTGTAACAAACATTAAGTTTTGTATAAATAGAAATATTTGCTGTTAGTTAATATTAGATCAAGCGTTAATGGGGAAATATTTTGACACCTGTGCTTCCATATTTAAATTGGGTAATGGACAGATTCCAAAACTCTAGAGAAATTACAACCATTTTGTTTACGGGCAACAAGAGAAACTAAAGCAGCATGAAAAAAAATCTGTATTCATTGTAAAAACCTGGAAAATACACTATAAAAACTTTCATTACAAACCCACTATAAAATATGTAAAAGTATATAATTATTATAGCAAATTATCTGTATTCCCCATAAATACTGAAGTAAATAAATAAAGATCTATTTAACTTTTACCAACTTATGAATGTATATAATGTCGGCAAACTTTAGAACAGTTCTTAATTTTGACCAACTAAGTCAATGTGAGGGTCCTTACACGACAGAATAAATTTCTTAATATTGTCAATATTTAATGAAGCATGAGGCTGCTAAATATTGCTGAATTCAGTACCACAGGTGGTACTAAATTCTTTGTAGATTTATTCCAAACCTAGTACTTCTGGCAAAATAAAAACCATGGAAAGCTGGTGAGTGTTTGTTTCAAGGCAACAAAGAACCAAATCTTTCACATAAGCATAATCAAGAATCTATTCACTGTTGTGAACAATAAACTGACATTTTCTATCCATAGTTGGTATTTTCTGTACAAGAAATAAAATTACAGACTTGATACAGACATTTCAGGGCACGGTCCTTATTAAATAGAGAAGAGTAAAATCCTGACTTCACAGCAGCAAATGATGGAATACCATGAGTGGGCTATGATATACATGTATCGAAACCAAGAATATGACTGATGACTTACTAGTACCTGCCAGCATAAAAAACACAGAGAGGCAGCTGGGATCTCACAGCAGAAATCTTAACATGCACTTGCACGTTTCCTGAGCTGTTATTTCAACAGACCTGGCACATGCAAAGATGTCAGTTACAGGAAAGTTCTGAGTGTACGTGAAGGGCCCCTCCTTTGCTACATCTGCATCTAGAAACACGTGTGCTACTTCATATAAGTCAGGATAAGCTTACGAGAAATTCCTCACATCCATGCTTTCACACCACAACTGAATGGTGCTAGCTCTCCAGAGACAAGTGAAGGACCAGCCACTACACTGAAAAAAACCAGGATGAGCGAGCAATGTCCCAGCATCCCAGTACGGGATGAACAAGACCTTTGCAGAGACCAAGCAATTCCAAGTTCTGAGAATATTCTAACTTCTTATAAGGCCTTTTTCACAGCTGTGCATTCAGACGTACCCAGGATGCCCACACCTACTATCATGAGCAATCTAACCTGCGGCATCAGCCCTGCAAGCTGCAGGACATCAAAGTGTTTCTTGTACTGCACTTTCTCTTACGTGATGACAAGTCTTACCTTCATTCCTTTAAGACTGCCTTGAGCAAAAACAGGTTCTCCTTTAAGGCCTTTTGGGCCAGGACGACCCTGATTAGAAAAAAAAAAAAAGTGTCAAAAAAAAATCTGGAAAAAATTCTGATTTAGTTTTGAAAGAATTTCTATCCAGCATAATGAACAAGGCAAACTCCTGGCTCCAGGAAACTGCAGAAGTACCACTGCAGCTTTGTCAAAGCAGCTGTGGTAT